TGAATGTTTTATTCAGTACGCGGGGTAAATATCGTCCATGTGAATCGCTAACAGAGTATTTGAGAGATTGTAGACTTTATTTTAATACTGTTTTTCAGTTACTTAAATTTTTAATCAATATATTAATAATTAATATACTTAGCTTTAACTTAATATATTCAATATTTTTTATTGAGATTGCGATGGTTTGATCCATTGATATTATAAAAGTCTAAATTGATAATCAATTTAATTTGCGATATTCCAGGTTCAACTTATGATTACAAATTCGAAACAGTAATTATTGATGCGCAGTTCATAGAATTAAAAAGATATTTAACAATTTACGTAGAAACATTATTATAGAAATATTAGTCATCAAGATCCAGCCTCTATACTTCTATACTTCTTTGTGTTATAATAGTCTTATAAATATTGAAAATTTAGACATTTCTCGTTTCTCTCATGGACAATATGTTTCTTTCGAAAAACGGATGGAAAGAAAAATAATGACAATACTTTTTTAGGGGTAACTTTAGAGTAGCACTTATAATTTTATTTTGCTAATCAAAGCCCACAGTTACTTTACACGCGAAAGAAAATATTCTCTCCCGGGATCTCGGGCAAATAAAAAAAGGAAGACGGCGCCATTTTATTTCAGTTAACGAAGTGAAGCTTCTTTTTTTTACGTTCTCCTTCGTGTTATCTCATTTAATTTTCTTATCTCAGCCACTGTATGTGAGTAACAGCGCAGGCGTATGATTCACGTACGTGTGTCACGGCTGTTCGGATAATGCTCCACTTTGCGTAATTAAAACGCAAAATATAGCAAAAACGCGTACGCGCATCCCACCCGACTCATCAGGTCGCCGTTTATTATCGATGTTAAGTTGAGGTGAACTCAGAGCCGACACATAAACGATAGTGTAGAGTAACGTTCGTTATCGCGTAATTATCGTGCTGAAAACGAATATGTGACAACATTCACGGGGTTATTATCGGAAATAATCCGCCGTTGCATATCTCTCTCTCTCTCTCTCTCTCTCTCTCTCTCTCTCTCTCTCTTTTTCTCTCTCTATCCTTGACGAAAACCTATTACAGCCTATTACAACTTCTCGCAACATCTTCGCCGTCGCGATTAATCACGCGCGGTATATTGGTGTTGTGATATAATCAAACCGCCTCGGAAATTGTTTATTTTTTTTCCCACGCTATTATTTTTCAAAACTTATCCACGAATTGCGTTTCGCAAACTCTGCGAATTTTTCAACGTGAAATATCAAGCGAAATTTATGAATTTCTTGCCTAGCACAATTTTATGAACGTATAACATATATTTTTCATATTTTCTGTTTTGTAGGAACTTATATCGGTGTTTTCGTAACGAGAAATATGAGCATTAGACTTTTCAATGGAGTATGTTCAATTCAGAGTGACGAGAATTATTTTTGTACGAGAAGCGCATAGTTACTATTGCTTTGCATTACAAAATTATTGCATTAAATTTTTATAAAATAACAAAATGGACACATTAAGATAAAAAATGCAACAGAGATGTCTGGAAAATGTTAATGATAATCTTTTAGATTTTTAATATTTCATCTAAATGTCAAATAATCTCACTATAATTTTTAAAAATTACTTCTTGATCTATTATTTGTCAATTTATTTATTTGTAATTAAAGCAGATTTGTCAAATCTTTTATTCATATTTTGAAAAGAATGTCGCGTTATTGAAGATCGATGAATCGAAGGGAAACTATTTTTGGCTCTAAGAAGCTCCAGTTTTTATTGTCGTCGTATCGATAAAAATCCGAGAGCGATCGAAGTATATTTTTAAGTGAATCGAACGAGATTGATGGACGTTTATAACGCATCCCCAACGAGGTGGGGATAATTGTGGTACGGATTGAAGTCTCTTTTGTGTGCCTGGATTCTCTTTATAAAGGAAACCGGATATTGCATTCGCAGAGCTCTGATTGGCAGTACGGCTACGCAGTAACGTTTCGCACAATTGGAACTTTGTAATTATTATTTCCGGCCGAATGTGTATACAGACGGAAAATTTAATTAATGGCGCTTCCGCAACGTAAAAATCGGGAAATGTCGCTCGCTTTGTCTAGATTCCATATCAAAACCGAGCAATAAGGGAACGAAAATATCGATATTTTATTCAGGCGTCGTAGTTGAATATTTTAATAAAAGTAAGTTCTAATAAAAATATGCGAAACAAACACATAACTAAAAAATATCGAACAGTATTTTTCAAACGTTTTATATTCAAAAATGCCTTACTTGCTATCTGTTTATTTTTATAAAGCTATATTTTTATTTTTATGATTTTAGTCACGACTTTTCTTTGTATAATAATTTAGTTTATTTAAATTTTTTTATTTTTAAATTAAATTAATAAAAATAAGTTGATTAAGTTGTTATAATATAATATTTTATTTTATTTGTTATATTGTTTATTTTGATTGTTATAATATAATATTTTCGTGATAAAATAATTAATTTAGGAACTTTTGCAGTGTAAATTGCTTCTGTCGATTTTACATGCCTCGTAAGGAACGTTCGAAGAATTTGATGCTCGAACGGCGATGCTCGCGCAATTATAGGGAACTTATCCTCGGGATATTATGATTGATGTAATATAATTTCTACGAAATTGATCAGAAATTGCGCGCGCGTATTCATCGTTGAACGCAGTCGTTCGACAATTACAACCAGTTTTGATCTCGGAAATAGCGCGGCGCGAGCGCAAAGATATTCACTCACCTCGGCCGACGTGATACGTCGGAAAAATAAAAAGACACACGTCGTTCGTAAAACGTCGACGTCGACGTCGAATGTTAATGTGGCTGTCGCTCACAGGTACGGGGCGCGCTAGACACGTTGCAGATCAAAAAATAAGAAGAAAACGGCGAGCCCGCTCGACGCGAAGATTATGATATGATTTTTATTCCACGCCGCGCGGGATGACGAGTGAATTCTCTCTGCCGGGGAACTTGTGACAGCCTCGTTTAACAGCCGTAACAGAATTCCTACAGTTATATTCTAATTTTTGGAAAATCTTTCCGATCATAAAAGTACACGAGTGAAAACGCGTTTAAAATACGTACATTTGGAAGAGAAATCATAGGTAATGGGATTCATATTTATCGCGCGCGGATAGCCGTCAGTAATTTCTTTTGCCCAAATATTTTGAATGATTTAAGAATTTGTCAGAATTTTTAAATATGCAAGCGTAAAAGATGAAGTAATATCTCGCTTATATTATTGCTTATATTATTGCAAAAAGGTCGACCATAAAGCTGCAAACCGTTGCGAAATACCTATTTCTGGAAAGACTCGCTCGCTGTGTTTTAAAGAATATTAAATCAAGTGTGTGTATAACGTTCTATTAAAACGCACGAAGCCTTTTTTTTTATCACTGGAACGATCGTAATAGAGTGCAGTGTAACGTGCATGATGCCGCGCTTAACAATGAGTGTTTCACATAATAAATAAATCACTGAAATAATTGCCGCGCTTGTGCTGCACATGCGCCTGATGTTGTGCTACCTAACGCAAGAACTTACTTCGTAAATTCACAGCAAATACCGAGACATGCGATATATTGAAAAAAATATGATTGTCAGCACGCAATGAAAAACGCTACGATAAAGTTTAACGAGGTACTTATAGCACATGAGGCGTCAAAATGTTATCCAAATAAAACAGTTCAAATAATATGCAGGGAAGTATCAATTAATAGACAAATAAAATGCGGATGTATTTTTCTGATTGCATTAATCAGTAAAAAACAAGGAAATGAAGTGTACCGTATTTCATACTGTTCTCCTTGCATGCTCATTCTTATCCTTCAGAAACTTATATATGTATATTATAAGGAAACCCGACAGTCATCTATTACAATTTTAAATTAAATTCAAAGGATATATATTAAGAATACGCGATTAATAATTGCAACGTCAATGTCGCATACCTATGAATAAAAGTACACGTAGTAATACTATATACGTATACCAATAATGCAATATACATGATTGCATCATGTGGCAATGTATTAATGATATTTGTTCTCGTTTTCAAGGTAATTGATATCTTCGCGAATCTCGCGAAAACTACAAATAAACAGGCCTAAGTCAAAGTCATGAGACGTCTCTTGCGTGCTCCGAAAATAATCGAGCTCTCAATTGTCGCGGAAAATTTCGAAGGTGCAAGTAGAATAATTATGCGATCTAATTATACGGATCATTATTGAAACGAAGCGTGAGTCAACTTTTCACGAATGAGTCAGAGTCACGTTATCTTTCTTTTCAAATAATTTGTGTTTAGAAAAATATATTTCCAATTTACAGAGCAATTTACATGTCTCACATTTTACTTACTCATAATAATTTTCTAGAAAATATTACTTGCAATAATTTTTTAGAACAATTTTTTTGGAAAAATATTACTCGTAATAACTATTTAGAAAAAATTTTTAGAGAAAACATTTGTTTAATAATCATCGATCTGTAGCCAAACAAGCAAATGAAAGATAAGAATATAAGAATATATAAGAATACAAAAAGTTGATACATCATTAATTTGCTAACAACATATAACTTTAGAAAACAAAATTTTTCAAAAATTTCAATGTTTTAAATTATTAAAATTTTGAAATGCAATTTTGGTGTAATAACTGATTGTAGAAGAATAAAAATATATTCTTTCTTTTTTTGTTTATGCTTCCATTTTTTCTGCAAACAACTAAACAAAATTAATTGTTAATTCTTTAGTCACGTCGTTGTAAATGAGCGATATAATTGTAATTTACTCAGCGTATTATTTCTCCTGCCTGACATTTGTCACATTTGTCGTCGCGGATCAACCGCTCTGCTCTCCTTTTAAATTCCCTCTCTAATTCGCGAATACGCAGGCACGTATAAAATTCGCAATTGTTTCAAGTTTCCTTTAACATAAATCGTTCGACGAAGAGTCGCTCGGAAGGCGCATTCTTTTTTCTTCCTTACCTTGCGAAGACACCGGCTTCCACGTGACCAAGACTCGACTACGGCGAACAGCTGCGAGCGCGACACTGCTTTTTCCTTCGATATTGCTTCAACTAACGTGACGCACGTTATCGACGAACACTCGCGTAGATCATCCGTCTCAAAGCGTCGGGCATCGACTGGCGTCTTCTACAACGAAGTGAAACTTGGGAGAATCGAGTCCGGAAGAAAGAGAGACGCGATGCTGCGACAGGACTGACGAGAGAGGAGAGCCCGCTGTCTCGTCACCGGTGCGCCGTTATCGCGATTAAGCGACTTTAAATGTCGGTTCCTTTTCAGAGATGAGTCGCTCTCTCGCGTGTGACTCGCCGATCGGTCGTCGACCCCCTCTTAGGAATCCCCTCTCACAGGCTTCTCCGTGGATTCTCTCGATCTCCTCTCCGGCGACGAGCGACTCTCCGCCACTCGCGCGAGAAATATTTCGCGAAAAATCTTTCAGTCACGCTCCGCCGGCGAACTGCCTGGAAAAACGACGCGCAATAAGTAGACGTTACTTACGTTATCTTCTTTTACGACACGGGGTGGGCAAACAAAATCGGAATGCCTCCCTCTTCCCCCCCGTGATAACTTTCAAGGCCCGCATTCTTATCTACTACTTTTCTCGCGGGGAAAATGGAAAAACAAGTGCAGATTTTTTCGTGGAGTTCAAAGGTCGAATATAAAACAATTGCATTACGCTCTGCATATAAATAAATCACCGTTAAATTATCCTTTTCCGGTAAAATAATCTGAAAAATTTCGTCCTTTCGTCATGCAATTTAAAAGAGAAAGAGAGAGAATTATATTTGAAATTTTTAATTATTCTTAAAAATTTTCACGTATTTTATAAATTAAACAGAGGAGAAGCTACAATAATATGATGCAATACGCGGGAAATATGAGATATGAAATATCAAACGTACTAGTTGATTATGATGAATGATTGATTAACAAGTTAAACGGCACGAACAGGAAAAAAAGCGTAACAACGTTGACAGTAGCACTGGTTAGAAGAAACTGAAACCTACATATGGAGAGCAACTATGGTATTCGCCTTCCTTAGACAATCACAGAGACCGTTCGTACTTACGTGTACGTATACCTACACCTTGTCTTATCTCCCCTCTTCTAGAACATTAGTCATGGCGTCAAGGTTTCACAGGCCTTGTGCAATGGTTTATAGACGAACTGTGTTCCGATCGAATCGCTCTATAACGCTTCGCTCAGATTTTCCCACTTTCTCGGAAAAACGAGGTAATTTCACTCGAAATCGCACTAATAGACATAAACTGAAAATATCATTTCGGGTACAATGACAATTAAAGGTGCCTTTTCATGCTGACGCTCATTTTTAGCGTCAAAGTAAGTCACGTGATTATAGTTGACGCTGGCTTGCACGAAAAGCGGCAACATCAAATTTAACGTCAGTCGTTCTTCTTCTTCTTTTATTTTTTACTTTTTTTACAAGGCCGTTGAAAGCCAATAGCATTGGACGCTGAAGCTGAGAAAATCCAGTTTCTTTATTTCGACGCTAGCGTCAAAGTCAAAGTCACGTGACTATATATGTAACGCTGAAACAAGCGTCTTATGAATTTGCACCTTAATTCTTTTTCTTTTATTTTTTCTATAAAAAAAATTACGTTTGATAGATGCTATTAAAATTAAAATTGGTTAAAAGATTTCTTTAAGAATTTCCGCGGTTTCTATTAAAAAACAATTTATATACATATATAAATTCAAATTTTTTCTCTGAGTGAATAAAAACTTGACCCGAATTAGCGAGAGAGTTAAATCCGACTGATCGGCGACTTGATTCAAACGACGGCGAGAACTAAGCATCGCTAATGACGAGCGGGATGATTGGCAAGGCCCTCTTGCATAATAATAGCCGTCGATCAACGTGAAACACAAACACGGTGCTCCGATACCGCGGGCACTCCTTTCATTGACATACTCTTGCGGCGATGCGCCGCGCGCTGCAAAGCGGTAATAGCGTAGAGACGTCGGCGTCACGAAGTTACGGCGCACCTTCACGGATCGCCGCCTTGACCCTGCGGATTTCTTCTGTGCTGCAAAATGGATAAAGATTACCTTGATCGTTTCGAGGTGCGAGTCTCCGACTCCGCGCGTTGCTTGTCAATCTCCTCAAAACGCATATCCGGGAATATCTTTGAAGGTAAACTTCGGCATTACGTTACTCACAGCGAAGATGAATATCTCGTCGTAGAAAGTCCTCGCCGTCTTCCATTGAAAATAAAGAGTTTAGGTATTATTATCGTTGAGCTCAACATATTGCATGTAGAAAATGAGCATTCATGACGCAATTGTGAGTAATTGTGTTAATTTCTAACGTTATGTAGAAAAACTTGCGTAAACAACATCTTATAGAAACTACATATATATTATAGAATCTGTATCTCGAGATTTATCGGTAAAGATATAAATTTAATGAAAGAGCTTGCATTATTTTTTTTATTAATTTTTAATCATAAAATTCTTAACAGCTGTTACCAAAATTTTACTTCATAAAATTCATTTATTTATATTATTTTAAATAAATTTACAGTATATAATGGTGTTTGCCATCAGTTTAAGAATCGCTTCACGAAGATCAACTGCAATTAACCTCGCACAATCTTCGAATAAACGCAATTTCATTAGTATCAAATATAAAACAAGTTTTATTAGCAGCGTCTTCGGTTATTAAACATTTTAAGTCGCCTGCCTTCAAATTAATAGCGAATTAATGACGACGTTCGCACCGTACTCCATCAATAAATATTCTCTTGCATGAATATGTTTGCAGCCGAAATCCTTGCCATGTGATATATTCAAAACCATAAAAATAAAAGCTCGTCAATATAAAAAACAAATAAAATTCAAAAAGAGGCCAAATTAACGAGAATGATAGAATTTATTAATTACATAGGAATAATATGTGGCGATCGTGGCGCAGGGCGCTGCGTGGCAGCTAATTATTATGCCGAGGATTAAGATTCAAAACCACCCAGAACTTCGGTGCTCTGAAATGCGCTGCCAGTGCTCTTCGGCATTTGGCAGCGCAAATCGGAAACACGGTCTCTGGAAAGCAATCGCCACCTCTCGGAAAGGCAAGGCAAAACCACCGAGAGGATATTCCTGCCAAATAAGAACATCCGATGATGGAGCTCGGGGTTATGGACCGAGGAGTGATATGGACCTGGTGTCCGACACGGGGCTAAACGGAGCCTGGGGTCTGCCACTAAGTCCGAGATAGGACCAGTGTCTAGCTAAGGAGCTGAACAAAGCTTAGTGTTTGGTTTGGCACGGGTCTGAGAAGGACTGGTACCTGGCACGAGGGCGAACGGAAGTTCAGTGTCGGGCAGCAGGGGGAGACGGCCATTGGAACCTCTCAAATTAAGCGGGAGTGGTACTTTATATAGATCTAGGTGACGCTCCCATCTCTTGTAGTAACCACCCGCATAACAATTATTATACTACTATTAGGAATAATATATTATTCAAACAAAGTAAAAGTAATTTCTTGATATCGTACATGTTTCAACTTAGCTAACTTAACACTAACCAAACTTGACGAAATAAAATAGAATCGAGATCACGTAGCGGCAAAGAATAATATTTCTACACATCTAACTATAAATATTATAACACATGCACCATGTGCGGCTGAAGAAGACTTTAACCGAGTTGAAACATGTATGTACGTGCCGCGAAATTATTTTTACTTTGTTTAAATAATCTACGATTCCTACATAATTAATAAGCGCTATCATCCTCGTTTAATGCTCATTAGTTTGGCCTCTTTGAATTTTATATTCGAAACCGTTCACTAGAATTGTATCTCTCGAGGACCACCTTGAGAACGCCTATTTCTAGCCGTGCTTGACCTACACTTGGATGTAGCAGGTCATCTACAGCCTCTGCCTCGTGTCTCTTTCTCCTCCTCCTCCGCCTCCTCTTCCTCCTCCTCCTCTTCCACCTCTTACTTCCTCACCTCGCTGTCTCTCGTTGTTTTCCACGGACGAGAGAATTTTATTGTCGCGCATAATCGTAAATCATCGTTTTAATGCAATTAAAAAACCGCGACGCGTCGTCCGACGCACCGCGTTGCGTCGCGTCGTTTCCTGGGAGTGATATCGCGATTATGGCATCTTCGGAATTGAAGAACGCTCCACGCGGATCATTAGCACGCATCGTGAATACGAGTTACCGCGATTTCGCGGCTGCGGCAGCGAGACATTCGGTTCTCGTTCGTGCATGCAAATGCGGATGACTGCAACTATGTAAGTAAAACTCTCGCATACCGCGCTTGGAATACTCGGTGCAGACGTGCAACGAAGCTCGCATCCGATTTGTATGAGTAATTCGCTAAACCTTCGGGTAAATTTAATAACGAATTTAATTAAGCGCTGATATATCAGCGGTAACGGGAAAGAATCGGCGGTGTCGAATTCTCATTAGCTTTTCAGTATTCAAATACCGTTAGCTAAGAATACTACATAATTTTGCCGACAGCGTTATTATTAATTATATTTTTATCGGTAGCGCGAGATTTTCGAGTAAACTTACCTTTTTTTTTTCACATTAATCGCAAGGGGTATATTATACTGCATAAATTTTTAATTTTATTAATTCATCATTTAAAATTAATATATTATACAAATAAAAATTTAGAGAAATACATATTCGTATCTATATATATAAATATATACGAAAAGTGATATATATATATATATATATATTTATTTATAGTTATATACTTATTATATATTATATATATATATATATTATATTATATATAGATATTATTATTATATTCGGGGCGTTGCAATATAGTATGCAATATATACGTTCCAGTGTAGGGCGTAAAATTTTGAGGGGCACACTTGGTTCGATATGTCCTTGTGACGTAAAATTCCATTTAGGCTGCGTTTGTGAAACATCACCCGAATGTTGCTATTATTTTATTCTTGTTTAATATTCGGTGAGAAAAGAATAAAATGATATGCAAAATTGTTATTATGTTGCATAATCCCGAATTTTTATTATGTTTCGACAGAATTTTAATTCATGAAATTATTATTATGTTGCGACATAATTTTAATTCATTAATAAAAATTGTTATATTTTTTAAACAAATATTTTTAAAGAATTTTACAATAAGTGAAATTTCTTTTATTATTAAAAAGTAAAACAGCTTGCCATAGGCGCGTGAGTCACTTCCAGCGTAGGGACGCTTAAGACGATCGCAACGCTCCCGATTATATTATTATTATTATTATTATTATTATTGTTATACATGAAAGGCGATAATATATATATATATATATACGCTTAGATGCCAATGACACCACAGGCCCAGCGTTCGCCAGCGTTTCCAGTTGTCAAGGAAAAAGAATTATTGCCTTTGCCAAGATCGTCTTTGCCGGAGTGCACAACAAAGGACCGTCCTATGATATTGTACAGTCCTCTCAACGAGATGATTCTGTCAGTGATATTTATCCTCGCTCTTCCGTTAGAATCGGCCCTGATGTTTCCTAAATCACCGACGTGTCTGACATTGTCTGTCGGTGCGCCGTGATGGACCTAACGGATTAACAGTGTATAGCCAAGATAAAATAGTATTAAATATACAATGAATGAAAGATTGTCATAAAGCAGAGAAGCCAAAAATATAAGTGAATGTTATCGTAAAATAAGAACGGCGAGAGACAGAATCTTATCAAAGGTGAAAATTCTCCAGAAGGAGGTATAGTAACTAATTAATTGGAAATTAATTATTATGCATAGCTATTTAAAGAAATATCGGTTGCTGTGGGAGCTCACGTTCTTAGGATTGAAATGCGCTCCCGTGGATGTGCAACCATTGCTCAAATCTCCCCTTTCATGCACGTGGAAACCGTGTAGTCCCTCGGTGAGTCCGCGAATTATGCCGGTAATACAAACGGGTCCATTCGGCTTTCTCTGAGCTATCTTCAATATACCCGTAACATTTTTCACGGAAACATTATTTGGCATCAGACGAACAAATGCTACCTAATCGAATAATTTCAATACAATTAATATAATTACTTACAATAACTTGTTTGTAAGCTTCCAAAAAATTGCAAAAAGTTTTATCTAATTAAAACGAAATGTTTTTAAGAAAAAGTTAATTGGACCTGACCTTTCAATTATTTAAGGCCCTTAATTTGTTAAATATTCTGAGAACTAAAAATCTATTAAAAATACAATTGAAATAAGAAAACGAAAAAATAAAATTATATTCTTCCTAATAAAATTAACTACAACTTTCGAGATGTTAATAAATAATCGTCAATAACAGTACTGAATTTTCATGTGCAATGTAATACTTTATTATGATAAAAAAAAGAGTATAGAAAAACGTAAGATACAAAGAATAAACGCAATATAAAATAAACGACGCGTTTCGAATCGTTTACAATGCGATAAATTAAAAACGAGTAAAATTTTCATCTTTACGTTTGCACTTTCTTTTTCAGATTGCGTTTTTGTATTCGCAGGTTTTTTTAATATTTATTATAAAGTGCACATGAAAATCCAGTATTAGCTCATATCGGCATTTCTCATTTATTTAATTTATATTGTAAAGTTTTTAGTTAGATCTCTTGAACGAAGTGTTTAACTTTAGATCGATTAAAGGATTCGTAGATGAAATTTTAAATTTTAGAAAAGCGCACTATATATATATATATATATATATATATATATTCTTTGTTTATTCTCCCATTGTATTACAATTCCTACGCACGAATGTCGCATGATGACTGCTGTCCAAATTGGAATTATGTCATATTATCAATTACAATCAACGCGCCACGATGATAATAATTCGCCGTACATTATAATGTATTGGAAAATCGATTGATGATTTACTTATTATCGCAAAAATGGATTGATATATGCAACATTCGGATTGCCGTACGTACCTTGTGCGAATATGTAACTGTAACAACAGTTACAGCTACCACTAGCAACACAAGCATTCGACTCATTGTTGCGTATTGGGCTTGTTGACAGAATAACAGAAAACTGACATCGTGGCATATATATATACTATCCTCTTGCTGCGTTTATACGTTTTATCAGAAATTACCTTTATCATTACCCTTGAAAAGTACTACAATTTTACATATAATAGTAAATTTTGCAATAGTAATTTGCAAAACTGGCAGACTGTGGCTTATATCCTCTTGCTGCGTATACTTATATGTTTTATATGTTTTATCAGAAATTATCTTTATCATTACCCTTGGAAAACGTTACAATTGTGCAATAATAAATTGTGCAATAGTAATTTGCAAAACTGACAGATCGTGACGTATACTATACCTAATATCCTCTTGCTTCGTTTATACGTTTTATCAGAAATTACCTTTATCATTTCCTTGAAAAGTGTCACAATTCTACATAGAGAAGAGTTGCCGAATGTGTATCACTTAAGATATTTTTGGTTATATTTCACATTTGGTATTATTTAGAATGCAAACAAACGTTGGAAATTGTAGCTTGGTGTTCAAAGCATCTAATATTACATGTTAAATTACATGTTAAATCTTTCACTAATAGCAAATTAATTTGTTCTAAGCTTTTTTGTAACATGCTGTCAAAAGCACGATTCAGCAAAGTACCGGTCGCCTAAATCGTACCTGTGAGTTTTATTAATAGTACCTTTTTCTAAACTATTGAATTTATGAATGGAAATAATTAAAAACACAAGATTGATAAAAGAATCATGAATTAATATCTACTTTAATTGTAATTTATCAAAGAATATAGCTGTTTTGCTTACGAAACTCGATGACGATTTTTTCCTCTACAGACTTGCTACAGAACTTCGATCGTGTTAAAATAAATATAATATTAATATTATGTTATGTAATCTAAAGATAAAAATACATTAGTGTTCCTAAATTGTACCGATACAATGTAAGAACTCTTATGCTGGTTAGGTCAGGTACGATTTAGGAAACTTGACAGAGATGATAAAAATATTGATATAATTTTTATAATAATTGTAAATATGTATATACAATGAATGTAAAATATGCTATCATAAACTTTCTTTTAGGAAAAAATAACGATTCAATTAAAAATTGCATGGTTACATTAGTATCAGCTATATAAATTGATCAAAAATTTACATCAATTGTATCTGATTTTTTAAAATGTTGATAGCATGCACAAAACAAGATGTAACCTGTTCATTTTTTGTCTATCTTACACATTTCTTATTTACTTCATATTTTTGTAACTAAATGTTGTTTCTATTAAGTGGAGATAAAATATTGAAGAGGTACGCTTTATGAGATCGGTACGCATTTGGCAACTTTCCCCTATAATAATAAATTTTGCAATAGTAATTTACAAAACTGGCAGATCGTGGACCTTATATAATATCCTCTTGCTACGAATACTTTATATGTTTTATCAGAAATTATCTTTATCATTACCCTTGAAAAATGTTACAATTGTGCAATAATAAATTGTGCAATAGTAATTCGCAAAACAGACCGTGGCGTATATAATATCAGCTCTTGCTGCGTTTATATATTTTATCTTAGAAGAAATTATCTTTATCATTACCCTCGCGAAAAGTGTCGCATGTTCTATCTATAATCTAATAATTTTGCAAAATTGGCAGACCGTGACGTATATAATATCCTCTTTTTGCGTATACTTATATGTTTTATCAGAAATTATTTTTATCGTTACCCTTGAAAAACGTTACAATTGTGCAATAGTAATTTGCAATAGTAATTTCTATATCTAATAATTCTATATCTAATAGTAATATCTATAATCTAATAATTTTGCAAAATTGGCAGACCGTGACGTATATAATATCCTCTTTTTGCGTATACTTATATGTTTTATCAGAAATTATTTTTATCGTTACCCTTGAAAAACGTTACAATTGTGCAATAGTAATTTGCAAAACTGATAGATCGTGGCGTATATAATATTCTCTTGCTGCGTTTATATGTTTTATTAGAAATTATCTTTATCATTATTCTCGCGAATAGTGTCAGAATTCTAACTATAATAGTAATAATTTTTCAATAGTAATTTACAAAACTTCTTAGTGGAAAATTTTTCCTCATCAGCATAAAACAGTATAAGGAAAGAAGTACAATATACACTCTAAAAAGTACGTTTACAATATTTTATATAACTTCTTTACGTGTATATTTTCTTATGACAAATAATTTGAATGAAAAATGCAGTATTTTGTTATGATAAAAGATTCTAAATTCGTAAAAGAAGACGGAGATGCTCAAACAATCTCTCAAAAATTGTATTCGTCTGACCAAACAATTGATTATAAAATATCCATTAAGAAAAAATTGGTAATTTCCGACTGTAGATTGAGATCCATTTGCGCTCGTGTCTCACGTACACGTAAGAATAATCGATCTAAAAGTCGATTCAGATGAACCGATTAATATTAACCAACACGGTAACCTTGCACGCAAAGGACTACGCGATAATTCCGTGCGACGCAGTTTTTGAAGCGCGCGGCCGCCCGCGCCGTCGCGCGCAATTCAGGAAAGCAGGCCGCTAAAGTAAACTTTTTTTTTTACATTAATCACAAGATGTATACTACATAAATTTCATTAATTCCTCATTTAACATTAAAAATAGGTATATATCATACAAATAAAAATCTACCAATTAATCATCTGTCCTATTTCTCTTTCTCTTTTCAATCTATATTTAGTTTTATAAAATATTTTTATAAACTTTTACTGTCCCGAAGAAATTATTCCTTGCTTTTAAAACGGCTCTTCAAAGATAAAGATTAAACGTAAATTATAATGATATATTTGGAATGTTCGTGTTACACCAGAATTAATTGCTTCTGTTACTTTCTGTAATTTCATTCCAGTCCGAAAATCGTCGGGATCAATTACCACCCATCGCGACGATGAAGTTCACGCAACAGCCGTCGCCGTTCCGGTTGGGTAACCACGAAAGTTGTTCGTCCCGGTTTTCGCAGTTTTTCCCCGCGTTCTCCTCCGGAGTTACTTAGATGACCGTGTCCAGATTAGCCCGCGGATAAGCGATCCGTCAGCCCGCGGCGAGGAGGCGCCTGCGGGGCCGCACGTCTCGCTTTCACTCGGCCTGCGCTCTTGCAGATCTCGCGCCCCGCGCGCGGGCCACGTGCATCGGAGAAAACCTACATACATGCGGCGGATCGCACGTCGAGCACGGCGATGTTGCGCCGAATCGATGTGTCCGAAGACGAGGGAAGAGGGATAGAAATCCCAGGGGCGTTTCGCCTACGCGATTTCGCGCCGGCGATCGGGCCGATAGCGCGATTACGCGATTCCGCGAGATCGGCGTCTCGTTAAATCGGGGTATCGCTCGTCCGCGATCGAGACCCCCCGGTGCCACATCGGCGGCGGCGGCGCCCCTCGAGGCTTGGCGTCCAAGTACCAACCTGCCTTGTCCTCGTCGTGACTCGCCGATGACGCAACGTATAAATACGCGCCACGGGGAATCAAACCGGTGCGGGGCTTCTAGTTCTACCTCTGCTAGCTGCTACTGCCGCTGCATCTTCTTTCGTCTTCTTCTTCTTCTTCACTCCGCGGAGAGCAGTCTTCGAGGAGCGGTGGTCCCGGAGACAAGCTCCTTGATCGGTACGGCTCCGCGCGCGATCGTTATCGTGAGAAGTGGATGAATCTCGTACTGCCACAGGTCGAATCGGAAGGGAGGAGGTAGCAAAGGAGAGGAAGGAGAAACGCAGCGGGCGCAGATCTCACGGAGACGCCGATCTCGGGTCCTGGCCGTCAGACCCGCTTTAACCTCCGATCGACTTGGAGGACTCCTCTCGCGAGGACTAAATTCGCTATCAAAACCCCTTCGGCACGCTCTCGGGGCTCATCGCGAGATGTGGCGGTTGTCAATAGTGATCGGTATGATCGCGATCGTGAGGGCCGGGCCGTACGACAGGATGGGGGACGCGATGAACGACAGAACGCTGTTCATCAGGAGTCTGCCGGGTTATCCTGGGACCAGGAGCGATCTCTACGAAGTCTACATGGAACCGTATTATTTCGTATGTATTAACATTTTTCTGTTTTTTTTTTTATTGATATGTGGTAAATTTTATTATATGATGATATTATACTTGATTACTCACTCAATTATTTAGAAACTCATATTTTCCTTAACAATTTTATTTAATTTATAACAAAATTTGTTATTTTCATATAATTACCGATAAAATTGGAAATTGATATTAATCGTTGCCCCATTATTCATTAAAATTACGTGATATATGTTCGTTCAATATAATTTAATTTCTATAAATATTGAATTATATTAAATTTTGATTGTAATATTACAGTAAAATCATTGCGAAAAAAAAATTAAATATTTTCGGTTTCCATTTTTTGAGAAAAATTTTAAGCAGTTAATTTGTCACGAATTTTTTACCGTCATATATTTCGCTTTTAAAATAATAAAGTTAAAGTAAAGTTTTCAGATTTTTGATCGAGTGATTTTTTTAATTATCAATCAATAATTAGTCAACCTTCTCACTTTGCATCTTGCATCTCACACGGATCTTATCGTGACCTGAAATAGATTACGTAATTTTGTCTGCACTTGTGCGAAAATGTTCAGCGTGAGCATCCTTTCACTTTTCTTTTAAACTTTAACGGAGCTGCGCCTCTCATTCATTCAACTTCAATTTCCCTCGATCAAACTCAGCGTGTAATTTCGCTGCTCGATATGCGATTACTGTTGAATCTCAATACACGCGGTAATCGGTATCGTCATATTTATAGCCTTACGTGCAAATAACAGCCGTTACGAACGTATTTCCGTCGAACGTTATTAAAGTAGTAATCATCTGTCATTCAACATTACTTGCAAGACGGTGAAACGAGAATTGTGTAGAATATGCAGTAATTTATTATTCGTGTGGACGGCACAGAGACGCATGAAGGAAAACGAGTTTGTTAATTTATTTTTATTAATATAAACAAATATTTTACAACGAAGTCTACATTGGTTAATCGAGCGATATATATTCTTTTTTTTATTTCATCATTTACAGATACTTGATAAAAATTTTACATTGATGGAAAAATCTTTGATATTTGTGACTATAATTACATAGTAAAATAAGTATGATTATAGTAGCTTTATTTTAATATGCTATAAATATCAATAATAATATAACTTTATATTTATAATTCTACGAAAAACTACGAAAAAATTGTATTATAAAGCATGTGTGATAATTTTATTTATATTAATATAGTTATATTATAATTATATGAATGTAGTAAAATATTAAGAAGTGAATGGTAAATAAACATTTTTTTGCGACAAATGCAATTGCAATTATAATGAATATAATTATTTTCTTAACAGTGACTTATTACAAATAAATTATAGTAATTGTAGTTTTTAGTAAGTAAAGAATCTTCATTGAAAAATAAAATAAAAAATGTAGTAAAAAAAGAATTTAAGGATACTGGCAGGTGTAAAGCCTTAGAGTTATTTCTACAAAATGGTGCAGATATTACTGTGCAAGATAAGGATGAAAAAAATGCTTTGCAATTGTTTACAAATAGATCTATGAAGCTTATGATATGTTAACATATATATCAGAGGGTAATTATTTCTTCCAGCGCAGACGAATTTTCCTATTTTTTAAAGAAAATATAAAGAAAAAATAAAGAAAAAAATATATGTATATATATTTTTTAAGAAACTAAGTTAAGCCGTTCATCCCGTTTAGCGCCGGAGACGATGCGTACGGATTGTCTTAAACGACGTTATTGTGCTGCACCGACCGCCGCATCGCTCTCTTCTTTCGTGTGTGCGCCACGTGTAAACATTTCCACGCGCGTGACTTCTTATCATCCTCCGCGCGACGAACGTGGCGATACAATTCATCGGGTCCGTCCATCGGCGCGTCTCTATCGTTAGTCATTAACCACACACGCAGGCCATCTTTAATACGCGGAAATTTGCATAATTAGCCATTAAGTTATTTAAACATCGCGAAGGACGCCGACTGGGTTGCTGCGCGTCGCTATGCCACGAGGACGCTTTCACTACGCGCTCCTCGCCTATATTGCCCCGCGTGCAATTCTAACGAAGAGCGACCGATTCACTTCTCGGCCGACCTTGCGCGCAGTTTCTAGCCGCTTCGTCGTCGCCCGTAGATGATTATACTCCTCGCGGGATCGCCATTGGTAATTGCGAATTTTATCCGTGAACCCCGCAACCTCTCGCTTAAACAAAAAAAAAGGAGGAAGCGGAAAAATAGGTAAGGCTTCGATGTCCGATGTGGGGAGTCGCGCGAGGTGAATCAAGGTGAAGCGCGCGCAAGAGTAGTGGCGCAGCCTCTAATGCGATTCAGTTGGTAGATCAAATTAGATAGGAAGCACACCGTTCACCCGAGTGCGCTACATAGCATATCACTCGTACGCGATACTCGCGGACGCGTCATTATCAATTTCCGGTCGCCGCGTGCATACTCCTGCGGGACTCCACTCGCGCGGCGGCATTTATGGATTAATCGAGCTATAATCGAGCAGTAACAAATTGCTTCCGTAGATCCTCGTAGCCGCGTAGATTTTCGTTCTGCTCGAATAGCCGCCAAGTCTGCGGATTCTCGATCGAAAAACTCGAGGTATTCACAAACTTTTAGAATATTTTAATACCTCGACTGAAAATATTCGTCTATATATTTTCGTTAGCGCACGAATTTTGCGCTATTTATCTTTATCTCTTCAAAACGCTATTTATCTAGAGCCTTGGCCTTGACCGTTGACGATAAATATAAACCACTTTCAATTTGCATTTTCTTGGAAAAGGCGATAATAAAAGGCGAAGGAGGACTGTTAAAATTTTGTTGTGAAAATAAATATTATTTTTTAATAAAACTGTTGCTTAATTTATTTTCCCTTAGATATAGAATTTATGCCAATTTATGGGAGTGCTTTATACTTATAGCCAAGGCTGTATATATATTTTTTTCTTCGCATCTCATTAATTATCTTTATTGATCTGCCCTGATAATAAGTAGATATCGATGTATGAAATAATCGTAATATTTTTTTTTATCAATTTGCAGGCAATCGGTCTGAGAGCCGTGGTGGAGATGAAAGCTCTCGATGAGGACGGCTCGCCGGTGGATGGGCCCCGAGGGATGCTGACGTTGGAGCAGCATCCCGAGGGGGTCAGGGTCACGGGCAATATCACGGGATTGAACCCGGGCTTGCACGGATTCCACGTGCATGAGAAAGGGGATCTGAGGAAAGGTTGCAATTCGGCCGGTCCGCATTTCAATCCGTACATGGTAAAAAATAAATTTTATAAGTATTTAATTAGCTAATTAATTGTAAGATTTGCGTTGATAAGAACGATGAAACTTTGCGAGACTCCCAATGTAGGATCGAAGTTGCTGAAGACAGCATGTATCCTTTATAGAAATTTAATATCGAAGGGGCGAAGTAATTATTTTTTACCAATAATTTTGAGTATTAATTGTTTATTGATGCTTTTAATTTAATATTCAGAATAAGTAATTATTTGGCCCTTTTAGTATTAAATTTCTGTAGTTCTGAGGTGTGGAAATGAACGTTTCAATGTGTAACGCAATTGATTGACTTTTATAGACCTCGGAAACAACTGATTCGAAAGTTAAATTTCAAGATTAATTCCCTCGAACTCTGGTGAAAAAAAAAAACCATCGTTGTCGTTGTCGAACTCTCCGAATGCAAATGCGACGCGATTAGCGTGAATTGATAGCCTCGCGCCTCGCGGATTGAGCCATCTCGCGATCTCTCCCTCGATAACACGCACTCCCCCTCCCCCCTCTCTCTCTCCTCCGTTACGGTAAACGAAGAGTGATTGCGTTTCAGGTGAATCACGGCGCACCGAGCGATCCGTTACGTCACGTCGGCGATCTCGGCAATATTGAGGTCGGGGAGGACGGAGTGGCGAATATCGACGGCATGGATCACTATCTGAGCCTGGTCGGCGTCCGGGGTGCGATCGGCAGGGCCATAGTGGTCCACGAGAAACCAGACGACCTCGGCCGCGGCGGGACCGAGGAGAGCCTGAAGACCGGATCGTCGGGCGAGCGTGTCGCCTGCGGCGTCATCGGGTTCTTGTAAAAGGTTTTCGATGAACGCGGCGAATTCGGCTACTGCATGCACTATAAATACGCACTGAAAGCTGCCGTACTCAACTCGCGTAAAAAGATATATACTGCGCGCATATGCGAGATCTTCGGCATACACTTGCCGCACACTTTAGCATGCGATATTCCTTGCTGAAGACCAAAAAATAACGTCTTTTCTATCTAAATTCAGTCGGAACATCGCTGTGTCTCTTAGCAATTTTTTTGTATATTTTTTAATACTATTTTAAATAATTAAAAATACTATATTTTAATACTAATATTTTGCACAACTATTCCGAGTCACGACACAAGAGAATCTCCGTTAAAATTGAAATAATTTAAAAAAGAAAAATTATAAATATTTGTTATCTACGTAATGTTTATTCATTTGTTATTGATGAAAATAGCGTAAGAATCTGTTCTTAAAGCTGGATATTACGTAAAATAAAATTTAATCATTACGAATGTTATTCAAATAACATACAATTGTTATAATGTAACTAATTTTATCCAATTAAAGTAATTACTTGTAATTATCTCGACGTTGACAGCTAAATTTATGTATTCGTACAACAGCCCGCAGATTGTGCGCACTAGTGCATCCACTCCAAATTCGCTAAAAGAGATGTTGCGTATCGCAACTTCGTTTCACACTGCTAATTTAATTCCGCCCATTTGTACCGATCAATAAATCACGAATTGAGCACCTATCAAATTGCATTTTATGTATATATACACTTTTATTTAATATCTCATTTTGGATTACAGAAATAGGGTAAACAATTTTAATAAGCAAAATTTCCTCTCTTTTTGCCTCATGGGTCTAATACTAAAGTAATAGGAAAATAAAATATAATACCGATAATCGTACATTAAATAATAACAATAATCATATTGACATAATATTGTTTATATGAAATGCATAAAAACTTTTCCAAACATTTTTAATAAATTAATCGAAATTAGTCGAAATTTTTGGCCGCAACGAAATTTTCACAAAAATTTGATCCACGAAAATGAAGCTATTTTTTACGTCAATACACGGTTCATCGGAAATTTAATGAAATTTCAATGCAAAGAATTCAACGCGAGAATTGGGAACAGAGTTTGTCCGTAACAAGATTTTATTGTAATAGCTTTCGTCGTCGATACATTTTTCGGTAAAGTAAATACGATACACAACATATAGCTGGACAAAAAAAATATACAAATTGTGATACGAAAAACGCAATCAATGGTTCTCGAGGAAGGAATCCAAACTGCAAAGTCTTCGGATCTTTCAAGTATCGTATGTTTATTTCTACACACGCACACACACATTATTATTACAATTAAGACGTGACTTAGGCGTCATAAGAGGAAGAAAGAAAAAAGTAAAAAAAAAATCACAAAAACGAACGTCAAATATTCTACGGACGGATCGCTTCTTCTGGGAGTATACAGGAGTCCCAAGTGGGGTGCCGAGCTAGCAAGAACTCCGGAGAAACAGGCACCTCTCCATCTCCAAGATATCGATCATGTAACTTTTTCTTTTAAGGCGGAAACCGCCTTAGAAGTGAAAAACACCGACAAGATACTATTAAAGATATCTTATTAGTGTTGTCAATGTTTTCGCTTTTCGTGATTTCGCCCTAGGAAAAAAGTTACATGATCGATGTCCAGGGTGGAAGTTCGCCGAAACTGCCGGCCGAAGTGGCGAGAATCCGAGATCAGCTCGTTCTCGTCGACGGTGTTGCCGAGTGCGGCAGGCATCCGAGGGGCTTCGACGAAGCGCCGCGCATCTTGTCCATCGTCGACGACGGCGATCCTACGGGCTCGCCCATCTCCTCGAGGGCCCGCAGCACCTTGGTCACCACTTCCGGCGGCGAGGTCCTCCTCGCTCCCGGCGCGTCCGGTCGATGCTGGAGGTCGTCCTGGCGCGGTTGCCTTGGCAGCCCGAACGTTTGCGGCTGGAAATGCACTGCGAGGACGTTGAACCGTTCGTTTGAGGCACTTCATGTCTCGTCGTAAAGCTATAACCATCCCCCCCGGGTATCTGCAATATCGATCGTTTCCGCCCCCTTCCCTCCACCCCCGCCCCCTTCGGGTTTTACCGCCGCCAAGAATCGCGAGCGAGCCAAGACAATAAAAGTCAACGATGATTTTTATCGCTGCCGAGATTAATCGCTCGCGATTTCGCGTTCGCTATTACGATATCGGCATTTTGCAACGCGATGTATCTCGCGTAATATCTTCAGATTAATTTACCTCTCGAGATATAACATAGGATTGCTGCAATTTCCTTATCTCTTTAATTCCCTCTCATTGATCAATTGTGATAGTTCAGAATTCGAGTCTACATATTATATATTTTATTTAAAATAAAAACATATGTACAAAATAGAATTGATCAACCTGCAGCGACTGCAGTTTGTTATATTTAAAAATATCTCAATAATTTAAATTTATAAATTTTTTCAGCTTGGCAAATACTCAAATCAATTTTTCAGCGTGTTGAATTATTTCGATAGATTCTATAATCTTGTAGAAATCCGACAGTAGCGTTTTAATTTGTATAAACAAACCGCGTCAAGATAAATTGTGTAAAAAGTTACACTTTGCGCCCCATACTTATTTTTATTATACGGCAAAGTAAAGGCTCTTCTCACAGATTTAAATCTGTGACTTTAGTACACTTCAGGTTCCTCTTACAGATTTAAATCTGCGACTTTTAGTAAACTTTAAAAAAAAAATGCAATTTTCATAACGAGAGTGACTATCGCTACATTACTAGGAACATCCAGGACGTCGTAATCCGAGATGTCATCCAAGTCATCCGCATCGAAGTTACTGCGGCCGCATCTAATGACGAACTGTATGCAATTGATGATCAGCCTTTTTGATGACCTCCACATAATCATGCGCGAACATTTTGGGACGGGACCGTCGCGAGTAACGGACGCGTGCGAGTTACATTGTCACGAGTCGTCGTGCGTTTCGTGTCACGTAAATGTTGACAGAAGTGATTAGACATTGGACGAATACAAAAGTATAGGTTGAAGTTCGTTCACGTGGAGCATAAAGCCTCGTGTCTCTCCACGAATGCTAGAAATCGCTCCGAGATCTCGGACGAAGAAAAAATTAACAAATCACGTTAGAACAATTCGACCAATGTGATTGATTCACTCTTCGAGATCTCGGAGCGATTTCTAGTGTCGTGGATACAAGGCTTAAAAAAAAAAGCAAACTTAAAACGGCATCTAAATCTCTAACAATCGATAGAACACTGATTGCTTTTATTGATACTATTTTATTCAGAAAATCCTCGTTGATATTGAAATTACAGAGAAACTGATCATTTTACTTTAATTGAATAGTAATTTTATAATAATATCGCATGATGAAATAATTTGTACTAACGTAATTCTTACAATTGTGGATTGTAATTCTTTTTAGAAAATTTTTTAATTAATACTGTGAAATCAAATTAATAGATTCGAATATAACAAATTTAAATTACATTAAATGAATCGTACAATGAAAATCGTATAATTATATAGCGTGTACATATGCGACTGTGATGAATGAAAGAGAAGTCAACTTTACAAATCATTTTAAGTTGAAATTTCTTTGAGAGTATCAAAATAATAAAATCAAATACAAGATTATATCGGAATGCCTGTATCAATGTATGCTACATTTAAATCTATTAAAAATGAATCTACATTATCTTGAAACTTAGTATCAGAGAGACACAGCGAAAGAACAGCTTCGTATAGATACGTTTTTATCAAATTAGTAGAATCACAATTTCACAAAGATAGAAGTAGAAGAGTAGAAATTTATATAATGAAAATGCGAAGAATATATATTGAATGTCCCTATCGCCTGCCCCTTCCTCTACCTCGCCCACCCCTGCCACCCCTACCGCCCCTGGCGCCGCGTCCTCTGCCACGGGCAGCACCTGCAAGCAAATAATATGATTAAATTGAAGAAAATTTTTTTTTATATAATCGCGATGACTGCAAAGAGAAATAATATGAAAATTATCTCTCTTCCTGTTAAAAGTCAATATAATAAATAAAAGAATCTAAACATAGAAAATACTTAAAAAAAAGCAAACTTAAAATGGCATTTAAATCTAACAATCGATAGAACATTGATTGCTTTTATTGATACTATTTTATTCAGAAAATCCTCGTTGATATTGAAATTACAAAGAAACTGATAATTTTACTTTAATTGAATAATAATTTTATAATAATATCGCATGATGTTAAAAGCATGATCAAATGAATATTTATTAGATATAGAATACCCTTTCAGCGCTGAATAATAAATGGATCATGAAGATCGCTTTAGTGTCTGCAGCACGCTTCAGCACTGAATATTTCTGTTTATCGTTAAAGTAGGATGCGTAAAAATATACTACATACCTCTAGCAGCTTCCTTCTTCTTGGCCTTAGCCTTCGGCGTATCATCTATCAGCAACGTTTCCAGGGGCAGCGAGTCGGGCAAAATGTAATACCTAATGTTGTTACCCCGTAAACTGAGGGTTTCTAACTGTATCGGCTCGCGATTCTTTACTGTCATTTTCACTGTTTTCAAGTGTGTGTTCATTGCAACATCGACACCTGCGACAAAACAATTTATAATTAATTCTATCAATGTACGTACTCCAACAGTGTATTCTTGCTCTCTGTTAAAGCTCTCAATTATAAAGCTCAATTATAAATTATCACATCATACTACTGGTGTGATTAATTTTATGCAGCCGTGCAGATCTGCTGCTTAACGAGTCACAACAAGTAACAACGAGTCCCTTAACCTAATGAGTCACAACAACAAAACATCGCCTTGACATACCTGTAATCGTACCGGTGACTTGGGTACCATTTTTCAATTCTATTGTAACAGTCTCGTGACTGAGTTTCATCAAAAATCTGCAAAAGCAACGAGACATTAATCCTTTGAGAAATATTAATGTTTACGTTACAAAAATGTTTGAAGTACAGGTTAGGTTGCTCCGGTCAAGGTGCTCAAAGAAAATATATGGGCAACTTGTGATGCGTATGGAAAATTCAACTTTCTTGCAACGTCTTTTTTTACTGTATAACTTTTTACGTATTTCACATACCTTACTAGCTTCATAATGCGGCTAGATTGAATACTCAAAAATAAACCAATTCACCGGATACCGGTAAATAGTGCAGACACCACGCGTTGCTGGTGGTTGCTGGCCCTGTGTACAGGGAGACCAACCGACGCAATTGGCCAACCTCTCAAACGCGAAAACAGGCGGGATAATTTTTGGCGCCACTGCATAAACATCTGGCATGTCAATTGCGTCTCATGAATTTTATTTAATTCACAGCTGATAAACGAAATGCGTATTTGCTTATTCGTGAATAATAATATTCTAATGCTCTTGTCAAATTTATATTTAGATAAACGGATATATGTACACATTTTTTTTTCGTATCTACCTTGGCAAAAATTTTCTTAGAATTTTTATATAATTTTCTGTAATTTTCTTCTTTCTTTCTATAATTTTTCAAAGTTTCTACAAGAAGCCTCATAATTTCATTATATAATTTCCAAAGATTTATAAAATTTTGAAGTATGATTTTTTTTAGAAATCTTTGTAATTTTAAAACTCTTAAAAATATATGAGAATTTTTTTCATTAGACATTTCATTGGTCTTTATTTTAGCATGTCGAAACGATACTGTGATAAAGTTTCTCGACAAGTATACACAAAATAACGTCAAATTTATATTTAAATAAATGGACACATATATATTTCTTGTACCTAATATAACTCTGATCTTCTTTATTTTCGTATGTCCCAATTGGAATAATAAAGTCCGTCAACGAGTATGTACAAAATAACGTCAACCGCGACGCTCAAACTTTCCTTCGACACTGCCAAGAAATATAAAAGAAACTAGACGACTATACAGTGTTCGTGCGCCTTGCCATTAATCAACTTCAAGATCGTTGACATCCTTCCTCCCGACCCTACGTCGAAGGTTCGCGGGAAGGCGGTGCCGGTGGGTCTGTTGTACACCAACTGTATGGTCTGCTCCCATCTCACAGGCAGCACGATTTGCTTCGTCAAGTATTTCTTAATTAACGACGGATTGCCGTATTCATGCCCCTTCCAATTTGAATAGACGTGGCATCTGAAATCGTTGAATTCTAACGTGTGGAGCATCTTGCCGAAGGACTTGAGCGCCGGCTCCATCAGTTTCGTGTGGAACGCGCCCGACACCGGCAGCCTGGTCAACTTGGAAAGCCCGTACTTCTTCGCGTTCTTCTCTATGTACTCGAGCGCCTGAGTGTTCCCAGCCAGGATCTTCGATTGGGTGCACAAATATATTGCCACCCTGCAACAATTTTTTTTCTACATTATCTAATATAATACCACGTATACTCTATCAAGTGTTTATAAATTACCACAAATTTAAATTCTGTCACAATCCAGTTTGACTATATGAAATATGTGCAATGCAAAAGAAGAACGCTCAATATTTGCTACGACAACGACATACCTCAAAAATTGTTTTTTAATTGCTTGTGGAAAAGATACATAAAGAAAAAAAGGAAGAACCTACTTTGAAAGAACATAATTTTATACCTCTACAATCAGTTATTGCATTTCGAAATTAACTCTACAAAATTTTAATAATGAAACATTAAAGTTTATTTTCCAGAAGACTTTGATTATTTTCGAGTTATGTCGTTCTGACAAATAAGCAATATGAATGCGCGAAGCGATCCTTACTGACAAACGGGCGTCTCTACGCCGCAATCTTGTGCCCACTTCTCAGCGTCCTTGCACGCCTTCGACACCTCAGCCTCCGGAGTACAGTACACCGACAGCATTCCCTGAGAGCACTTGTCGGCGGCGTACTGCATCGCGGCGCCCCTCACGGAGACCAGTCTGACGCCGTCCTCGAAGGATATCGCGCCTGAGAAGATCAGGGCGGTTAGTTCGCCTACGCTGTAGCCCACGGCCGCCTTACACGTTTCGAATACCCTGGGCCTTTCCTCGCGGAGCTGCTCCAGCGCGGCCAGCGAGCTCACCACCGTGGCCGGCTGATTGAAGCGGGTCTGGTCCAGCTTCTCCTGCGGGCCCTTCAGGCAGAGCTTCAGCAGATTGTAATCCAGAATCTCGTTTGCTATCTCGAACAGTGCCTTCGCCTGCGGGAAACGCAGGTACTTCTGCACCGCGCCGACCTTGATGGTGCCCTGGCCCGGGAAGAGCACGACGCAGGTGTCCAACGGGTTGAGCTTCGGCTTGACGACCTCCTCCTCGACGGAGGTCGGGGCGTCGGCCGGGTATGGGCTCGTCGCCCAATTCGTGTCCTTGGCGTCCCTGTAAGTGGCAGCCTCCTTCAGTAGGCGCGAAACGCTCTCCTCGCCCGTGGGAACCTTCACGTCGTCGCCCGCGGCACGTTCACTCTGCGACTCGCCGGCGCTCGGCGTACCGCCGCTCTCGTTTCTCGCGGCGGTAGAGTCGGAGAACTTGTTCATCCGTCCCAGGGATAACAAACGACTCAGGCAGGGCGCCGTTTTGCCGGACAGCGCTCGCTGGAGCATCGTTGACAGCATTGCGATTAACTATGAATACGTATTCAAAATACGTAATGTGACATGCACTCCATTCGCGGCTGTCAATTTATTTTTATTATTGATTCGAACGCGTTAAATCGCAATCACGTGTATCGCATTGTTTAGTCTACCATAACCAAAAAAATTGACCATAACCTGCACACCCGGCGACGAGAAAACTTCCATGAATTCCATGTGTGAATCGGACTTCGAATGCGCAGTATCTAGATATTTTAGATATTCACACGGCATGATGGTTCGAAGAGGAATCAGAACTTATAACTGTCATCTTGAAAATTTTTAGTTCTTCATAAAGATAGATTTTCATCTTTCATCGCGTTTAGCACAGACTTCTAATGCGTGTGTGGACCAGCTTGTATATATGATATTAAAATATATTTATAATTTTATTTACGTTATTACATTAATATAAATGAATTAATTATATACATTATTTAGGTAATATTTATAATAAATCGCGATGAGAAGGAATTTTTAACGTCTGTGTGCAAGCCTTATATATTAATTAAAATATTATTTATAATTTTATTCGTAATATTATATCGTAATTTATATAAGTTTCATAGCATTATTTAGAGTTTGTAATATTTATGACAGAACGTCAAACGTTTGGAATAAAAAGAATTTGAGTAATTCGCGCTGTGTGGCATAAATATTTTAATGTAATTAAAATCTCCCGGAAGTTTTGAAATACTATTTACTCATATAATTATCCAGAAAATTTGTTTCGATAGAGAGTTGACGGATAGCAAGGTTAGAGTACGCATCTCTCGAGGACTTCTATTCTGTATACGTCTTATGATACAGATATATCTTTTCGCGTAACGCGTATTACATAATCAAAAAGGTATTAAGTTTTAGCAGAGCTAAAACGAATAAAAAAAAACGCCTCTTAATGGTTACGCGAAGAATCTGTGCCATAGACGACACCTCTGAACTCCGAACGACAAGCGTCGGTATCGTAACGTGTCGTCGTTTTCGTGCGCAGCTCTTTTGCCATGTAAAATACCTGCGCAACGACACCCGTCGGTCGGAAGAGTTACAGAATAGGGGCCGAGAGCTGCGAAAAATCGTCGGAATTACTCGGGGAGCATGTTGGAGGAGGAGGCGTTAGGAGGCGATCGCGTTAAAACGTCCACGCGTCTCCCGAGAGCTTCGAAAAATATCAGAAGTTATTAGGAGCGCACGCGAGCGGGGAGGTCGTTCGATCGCTCGAGCGAGCACAGTTGGCCGTCCTGCCGCGCGCGCCGCGCGCAACGCCACGGCAGCGATGGCGGCCCCGAGTGGGACGCAGAGGGCTGAGGGACAGCGTGCCCCCCATCGCCTCCATTGCGGTTGGGACCGTAGTGGGAGTGGCAAGTGGGGAGCGCGCCGCGCTCCCCCACTCCCCTGCCCCAGCGACTCGACCAGGCGTCTTTAGTGAACCTCCTCGCTCCGCATGCCAGCCGCGTAACTTCAACGATTTTTCGACGATCTCGGGACTCGGAAGACGCGTATTCTAACCTTGTTACCTCTTGGTGGCTCCTGCCGTATCATGCTGCTCGGATAACTTTGACGATATTTCGAAGTTGTCGGAGACGTACACCTATCCCGGATTCTCTCTACCCTCTTGTCGCAAATACACGTGTACATGTCATACGAGCGAGTGAAATAGATCCCCGCTATCTTTAAATTGCGATTTAATAAATAAATGATTTAATAATCATTCGTTTAACTCTTCTGTCTTGCGTTTAATAAATTTTCCAAATGACACGTCACACAAATTGTGTTTCCAGATTTGATACGGGAGTCGAGAGTCACACGGGAGTCGGGCAGCCTCGACTAGATGAGGATATAAACAAAAGCAGCCTGATTCTCTATGTAAGAAATCTGGAAACCGCGCACGAGAACCCAGCGAGAAATGACTCATCGAATTGATGAATCTACTTTTGTGTGTATAATTATTGAAATACATGTATAATTTAATATCTACATCTCAAATTCGCGCGCGTCCAATTGTTCCAGTCTATCACAATCCGCGTGATTTATTATAGTAAGTAAACCAGGGTATGGTGTCAATGTTGTTCGCCGAATAATTATACTGTATCATTTTATGCGCACAGATCTTTAATCGGGCCACACAGTAAGCCGCCTATAAATAGCAATAATTGACCACGTGTGACGAATTGTCAAACGATAAGCTCTCGCTGCGTACGTTCAAAGTTTTATGACGTTTAAACTCGGCAAAAATTCCGAAATGAGAGCGACAAAACTTAACAAATAACAAATAATTATAATTATTATCAAAAAATTATTTTCAGATCTGTTTTTAGCAAAATTTTTAGACCTTTCAACAAAATCGTTCTTTCCGTGTAATAAATCAATTAAAGTACCTACATTTAATGACGTTAATTTTACTTCGGAGAGAGGACGCTTTATGGCATGACTTTATAAATTTTATTTGGGCGCGGATATCTGTTTCATGACTGCGTCTGCAATTAATTAAAATCATTAAAGTAATTAAAATTTTACTTTAGCGTAAACTCTCCAATTCCGATGACCCGCGTCCCCATTCCCTTGGCCAAAGGTGTCATCGGCGAAGATAGACGAGTATAGAAGCACGGATCTCTATATGTTAAAATGTATCACGAGTTGGGGTACCCCATGAGATAATTCTTATAGCGATTTTTAGATGGGTTTGATCGCTCCGAGAGCGATTAATAACGACACATAGTATGTTATCGTCCTCCTCTGTGATGTCATTGATGTCATTAATCAGTTTCGGAAATCAAACCCATCCAAAAAAACGCTATAAGAATCTCATGGGGTACCCAGTTTGATACATTCTGACATATAGAGATCCGTGCTTCTCTATACACGTCTAACTTCTCTGATGTCATCTTATTGCTTTTCAATGTCAAATAAGCGTGTTCATGAAGTGGCGCGAGGACGATTAATCGCGGGCTAATCTCCGACGCACGTGCGTGTGCATACGCGCGCACAAGGAGGGAGAAAGAGAAAGACAAAGTCGTCGCAAGTGCAACGCTAACGATTGTCCGCGACGATCGCCGTGCAGCGTGCCAAATCGTCCCCTTCTCCTCCGCCGTCAGCAGGGGCGCGCACCTTTTTCGAAGGGACGAGCGGGGGTGCGCGGTAGACGATTGCTAAAATAAAAGCGTAACAAGGCAATGTCCACGGGGAGGTGGCGAGGCGAGACCGCGGCGCGCAGAAGGGCCCGGACATTTTTTCGCAGTATACGCGCGAGTGCGAAGCCAAGAGAGCTGCAGGTATACCGGCATCGCGCCCTCGGAGGAGCCGCCGCCGCCGCCGGCTGCGTCGTTTGCGGGAAAGAGATAAAAATAGTGAACGCGGTGAAATCAAGAGATCGCCTTCTATTGCTTGTTGTTTGTGCTTTTATAGAATCCGCGTGGTGAAATTGATCATTTTTAGACTTGTCCGTTTTGGATGCGAAATATCTGCATTCATATTATATTTCGTCATTTTGTATCCTCTTAGTATATCTTCTATAAAGAAAAAATCATGGACTCTCAAGACGCAGTAAAAACTTATAGAATGTTATAATTTTACACCCAAATTATGATTATTTTGCATTATTCTAATAATTGTTGATAATAAACAATATATGTAATTGTGAGGGTATTTTATATGTATGAGTTCAGTGTTTTAGCCAAGACATTTTGAACTCGAGGTTCGAGATCGGTATGGCATTTAGTTTCGCCACAAATACCAATTGACACCGCAGCAGCCAAACGGATTGTTGTGTCTTGTGACGATCGGTTTCTTCATGTGTACATATACTCAATCAGCTAAATCTGTCGAATTAAATTGATATTCGATCAGGCTTTTTGTTATACCTTCGAAAAACAGTAGAAATTAAAAGCGTCACGAAAGATGAATAAAAAAAAATCTTATTGTTAGAGAGATAAAAAACGAAACAGAGAGATATCATGAAGAAATAGATTAACGAATGAATAATTTTTAATTACTTAGCAAGCTAATTTAATTGTGATTTAATGATACGGATTTATTTTTATATTTCGAAACTAAGTTGTACAACTACAGAAAACCACAGGGTTGATTAGAGACGGTTGTCTTTTTTATTATATGTTTTGTATTGAAAAATAATATACGTTTTACATAAAAGTTAAACATGTTATTTAATTTAAGAAATTTATTTAAATTTGATCCTTCAACATTTGATAGTGGCACAATGTGCGTAATTGTTGCAGGCTCAATATCGAAGTGAATATTTAACGAAACTAGGATGTGGGATGAAGAAGCTGCACCGTGGGACGTTGAAGAACCTGCTCCAGCAGCGGACGCCGAGGGTGCGCCGGCGGAAGGTGCGCCTGCTGAGGGAGCTGCCACCGAGAGACCGGTCTTGAAATTGTTAAAACTCGAGCCGCCGCATTATAATCATCACTGGGTTCGTCCACTGTTCCTCAATTATGCGTACCTTTACGATTATAGGTAAGATATGAAGCTAAATAAGACTTTGTTAGATAAAAGAAGTTAATGTAAGTATGAAATTAGAATTATATCGGAAACAATGAACTTTATACTTTAAATAATTCTTTCGTTTTAAATATGAAAAATATAGAATATCTTAATTGCTTTTATATGTATACATTCATACGCCGAAAAGTTACAATTGTTAAAATTATACAATATAAAATACTGAACTCGTGATGACGGCGAAGGTTGTTCGTAATCTCGAAATTACCTCTCAACACTTAATCTCGGAATGCTCTTCTCATTTCAATAGGCAGAACTATTACAACGACGTGATCGATTATCTTAATTCGAGGCAGAAGGGTCTGTACCGCGAGCCGCCTAGGGCTCAGGAATGGGCAGAACGGGCTATGAGGACTTACGATCAGAAGAACGTAGACAAAAGCTTCAAGCGGTCGGCCGACATGAAATACTTAACTAATATGAGACTCGATCAGACACCCAGACACTACAGCTATCATACTCGTGCCTACTATAGTTTGAAGTACCAAAAAATATTGTGAATCCACCGGCCGCTGTTGAGAGCCGTCCCAAAAGGCAACCACATCAAAGACAACTCTGAAATTTCACATATCCGCTTATGTGTACGCAGCCTCGTCACGCGTAGGATCTTTATCAATATTTATTTTTTAACATATGTCTTTCTAATCGTCTCTACTCTTGCGACTCGATAATTTTTATTAGATATTTTGTATAAGCTAGTGAGATAAATAGTATTGCAATTCAAATGTGATTGGAATTACTGATAAAATCGATAATGCAACCGTTACAGTTAAAATGATATATTGTATATTTGTATTTATTTGACATATGTAAAAGATTGGCATTGTAAAATATATCTTCACTTTTAAACGTCAGAGACTTTTCGAATCGAATCACGTATTATATATATGTATTTTCTTTTTTAATCAATATTTAATAACTTAATTTATTAAGTAATTAATAATTTAATTCAATACTTATTTAATAATTTAATTTAATTTTTATTTGTGGAGAAGTTTTTAAAAGCAGGAAAATTATACGATTTGTTATTTAGTATTTAATATTTATTATAAATACACTATTTCTCTATTTAAAATACATGGTGGATAGTGACAATCTGCTTGCAAAGAATCAGTTCAAGAAATAAAAGAAGAATCTCTATCAACTAAATGAACACAATTAATAATTGTAAGTTGATAATCGGAGATAAAATATAATAAGAATCTAACTATTAAAAATATCTTCACGATTTTTTTTGGTGCGTCTCTGCGAAGACATGCTGATCTATATATAGATCTATCAAAAAATGTATTAAGGACACATTTTTTAAATTAATCTGAGGTAAATTTTTCTATAGAAAAAGTTTTTGAATTAAAAATGAAGGATTACTTTTAGAATGCAAATAGATATACATTATTCGTTCTATTTCAAACGATCAAGATTTGAACGGATGAAATTTTAATTTAAACAATAATTACACAGGTATCTAATATTATATAATAAAATGAACGAAAGTTTCTTCAAATTTTAATAAATCTCTGGTTCAAATATTAGATTTTGCACACCGTCGTATAGCATCAAATAGAAAAGCATTTTTGATCTTTAAAACGAGACGCTTTTCTTTCTTTTCAAAAATCTCCGCTTCATTGGCTGCATCGCGAGAGTCTCCAGCGGATCGCCGATCTCGCCGGTATCGATTAGCGAATTGATTCTGCGTTGTCGTCCTGTTTGGGCAGCGGGCTGAACAGCTTCTGACTCGTCAGCCAGTATTTTGGGCAATTTCACCAGATAGGTCCTGGGTTTCAGCTTCTCCGGCTCGACATTTGCGATCTTGCCCGTTCTGTCGAGTTTCTGCGCCAGCGACGTCGTCTGCTCGTCGTCGCCTGGCTGGTTGTCGAACTTGGTCGCGTGTCGCTGGAACACGATGTCGGCGGCCTCCAGCGTGCTCTTGGCCTTCTCTATCTCGGCGTTCAGATCAATCACGTCGAAGATGCGATCCTGCAAGGAAGCAAGTGTCCGAGATATGGCAAAAACATATTTGCAAAATGGGGATTTTGTTTGGCTGTTTGAATTATATGTGCATTTATAACTTAATTATGACATTATAACTTAAGTTATAACTATATAAGAAATAATAATTAATTATTCACATTTTATTGATAGCTAATTATTTTTTTAAATTTAATCGGATTTAATTTTTAAATTATCGGCTCATTCTTTCATTTTAATTCAACCTGCATATCTTGCCGCTTGCGTCTCAATTCCGCCATGTCCTCCTCGAACGCGGCGGCTGCACGTTCCTTGAAACGTCGCTGAGTAATTACAAAATCGTTCTCGTAAGGATTCTCCTGAATGGGTCGACCACGATTATCAAGCAAAAAGTCCAGCTCGTCATAGAAATCATCGCGATTTCCTGATAAGTTACGAGAACCTAAAATGTATAGAATCGTGTTAAAATTATTATATTGCTAAATTAATAATATTAATCCCGTTGTGTAATGCAACTCAAATTGAAAATAAATTAATATTAATAATAATGTATTCACAATTACAATAATTTAAGACGTGTTACGTAGTAATTTCTAATGTAAAAAGTAAAAACTGTTCTTAATAAAAAATTTAGATTAATCACAATTTAATTTAAAGCACATTGTTATTGTCTGCAAGAATTGTACAGATATATTATCGAATATATGTAAGAAATATTCATTCAATTTGTTAGTCTTACGAGTAAGCGTAGATTACGAATAACGAGTCTTACCTGCAGCGTTTCAATGCAGCTATAGTGCGGAATCTCGTGCATGCGGAAAATAGAAGGAAAAAAACATCAAGATACATACGATATCAAAAGAAACAAGAAGTGTATAACGAGTGAAAAAGGAAATTTGGGGAAATATGATAAATATGTGGTGCACGCACGTGTCATTCGACTTGCTCTCAGAAAAGAGTTTTCAAACGAGATTTATTCATAAAAGAAAGAAGAAATATACATTTATGGTAAATTCGAAAGTGTTTCGCCGTGTGTTTGAGTTTGCGTTACACAGCTCGTCCCCGAATGGACTAAGAATAATTTAAAAATAATTTTAATTTTCAAAAGAGGCACGATGTTTTTTTTCGAGACAGACTCGATAAAATGCGGCTTTGTGTGTGTGTATATATGTGTGTGCGCGCGCACGATTTTTTTATAATGTATATTGCACTGGTATTAAGTATATTGAGAAATTTTGCACAAGAATGATTTTAAATATTAAAACGTAACGTAATTGTCAGGTAAAATTAACATTTAAGCTTCCTCGGATCTTACTTGAGGAGCAAAGAATCGAGAAATTATGCGAGAAATATCGTTCGAAAATACGTGAAATCTTGAGCAACATGCAGTTTTTATAACTAATTAAATAATTTATCAAATTTCGCGACATTAATTTGCAAGAAAATAATCTTAATGTAAACAGAGTTTATAAAATTTACTTATAATTAGGGAAAGCTTTTTGTACACAGTGAATAGAAAACTATAATTCGTAGTCGATAGAATGCACTGTGAGTAGATCGTATTAGATATTGCATCTGTTATTATCGTTTTTATGCTGAAAATGTGGGATTTAGCGTATTTTCGAGAAACACATCTCGCATTAACATATCGGTACATTTAATTAATTACAGAATTATACGCATAACAAACGTACGCGCAGTAATCGTGAGCGTAATTAAGCGTCGATAAAATTTATTAACAATTTATTGTCAGTAAAATTTATCGACAATTCACTGTCAATAAAGCACTATTAAAGTTAAATGGAATCGTCGTATACATTCGTGAATTCGTCTCGCGAACAGATCAGCGACGATATATAACATGATATTGCGCGACCGCCGTAAAAATGGCGATCAATCGCCGCGTAACGGCGCATAACATCGAAAACATTTTCTATAAATTCGTATATATATATTCATATACAACAGTGCTTTACAGCGAACCGATTTACAATCATTATATTATATATTATACATCGTAATCGAGGGAAAAGATAATCAGGAACTTTAATTAAATAATTACAATATTGATTTTTTTAAGATGATCAAATAATTTTTTAAAGACATTAAAAAGACGTAATTTAAAACTTTAGTATCAATTTTATTATGAGCAGATTAATCTAATAATTTCAATTGGCTTAATTATTTTAAAGAAATAACAGTATTTAAGCTATATAAATATATCTAATAAAGTTATATTTAAATAATATCTGTTTCAATATAATATTGACACGTTTAATGACTAGAAAGTGTTCTTCCTGCGATAATTGGAGATTAACGATCTTTATAATTGTTAAGAACAATAAGAACACATAAATTAAAATCGAATTCTGGATCCTTGAAATCTTCAAAATTTTCAACATGCAATATTCTTACAACCCAAGCAGAACAGGTCACGATAACGTCGTTAAAATGAACGATGATCGAAAAGTGACGTTAAAATGAATGATAACCATGATCGAAAAATGACTTTTAATAATCATTTGTAGAGCCATTTTGATTATTATGACTTTTTGTTCTACTTGAGTAACGGCTGTAAAACACCGTCGTGAGAATGAAGGTCGATCGCAAGAAACTCTAGAAGCTGACATGCTTCTCCGCGCGTTCGGCGATGCGCACTTTCTTGCTGAGGGCCGACTGTTGAACAACGTCGGCTTCAGCCGCGGCGGCGTTCTCGTTGACCAGCGCCCTGAGGGCCGCCGCCCTGCGTTCTCTCTTGGCCTGCCTCTCGGCGAGTTCCTCCATCTCCGACTCGATATCCTGGAGGCGCGCCTTCGTCTGCATGGCCCGGCTGGCGGCGGCGCTGGTCTGCGCCAGGTCCTCGTCCTCGTTCATCAGCTTGGACCACCTGGAGAACGCCGGCGGCTTGCTGCCCTCGTCGGCACGCTCGAGCTCGTCGAACAGCCTCGAGCGCCTCTTGAAGCCGCTCTCCACGTCCTCGATCGCCGTCCTGCCGCTCTTCCTGGCGGTCACGGCGTTCTCCAGGAGATCGGCCGGGTTGTTTCTTCTCGCCTGGCCCGCGACCTGGTTCGCGGCTTCTAATTCATCCTCGAGACTCATCGCCGCTATCCGGGCGCGAAACCGACGCGTCGTCGCCGTCACCTCGTCCGCCCAGTCCTCGCCCAACCTGCGTCGCGCCGATATGCGTTGCCCGCGGCTGTCGTAGACGGTGTCCTCGTCGTCGAGTGCTAGCAAAGGGTCGGCGAAGGACGGTGCAGGTTGGGAGGCACGGATACGGGGGTCGAGGTCGAAGTCAGGGTCACGACCGAGGGAGCCAGTGCGGGGACCGGAGAGATCGCGCGTGCCTGCAAAAACCGACATCAGAAAAGAGTGTTGATTTGGTGCGAGTTAAAGACGACAGATGATCGGGCGATGACGGATGGTCATGTCGTTGAGAGACGGCGCCGTGTACGATCGAAGTCGCATCAACGATTTTGGATGAAAGAGGAAGGCCGATGAGAGATGGATGAATGGATGAATTGATGAGAAGAAGAGATGGAGAATCTCGCGAGCTCGCAGTTCGGTCAATTTAGTTAATCCTAATTAATTAAATTATTGATATAAAATTAATATATTCATCGATGTTTTATAATATAGTTAATATATCTCATCTATATGTCGAAAGATGTTATAAAATTCGAATTATTTTAACTACAGTTAAAGTATAAATTATAACCAGTGACGTTGGGGAGAATTCAGAGAAAACAATATTTCATTTGAGACATCTTTATTTAAAATATCATATTTCACATTAGCGATAGATATCGAAATTTAAATCAATATAATCTTAAATAAAGTTAGGAACTCCATTTCTAACACTGGTTATAATTTACTCTATAAATCTATAAATCCCTAACAAAAATATAAATTGACGTTAGATGCAACATCAGCGTAAATATATGTATAAACGTAATAACAATCTACAAAGTTCGTACATTTTTATTATTTGTAAATTTTAATTATTTAGATTTAATTATCCAAATGATCTGTTTAAAACATAAAAATATTGAAGAAGGGAATATTGATTATGAATAATAAAATAATTATCCATTTAATATTGTAAAATAAGTAAAATATGTCGGAATAATGCAATATAAAACGAAAATTACATTAAAATTGCCGTTTTAAGAAACTACATCGGCTTCGCCGATTACACTTCGTATTTTTCTATTTACAACGATTCTGCATCGGCAGAACGAGTTCTACACCGCCGGTATTTTCGGTGTCGTTTGATCAAAAATAAATTCGGATGCGCATCATATTAACATCCTGGCACATTTACAAAATCCCATCGGTGCGCCAGACTATATATGCACTAATAAATTAGCAATCGCACATATATGCTAATAAAGTAGCAGTCGCACCTAACGTCAAAAGCACAATCGTTCGTCCTCATCCTCCGCGTTTCGCACCATCCACGACGCCAGAAACATACAGAGTGTCCCAGATTAGTACACAACAAAAACCGATAACACGTAATCTTTTTTTCCATCAGGAATAAATTAATATATTTACATTACGTTTTTAATTATCTTGATTTTAAGATGAGTGCACATACAATATATATACAATTTTTTTTACCTTATATATAAATGTTGATTTTCTTTTTTTTAAGAAGAAGAATCTTTGAAATATTTTCGATTAAAAAAAAAACATTTCTTAACGACGCGACTCTAAAGGTTACAGCAATTGCGAATCGTTTGCTACAGGAAGGTCAAATCAAATTTTCTCGATGGCGAAAAGCTGGCCGGGACGTAGGTATTCGCTTCTGGGATATCCTGCAAGCTCAGACGTTCTGCTATTTCTATTTAGCCTCATCACGATCAACAATTTATCGATCGATATTTATTGATAAATTTATTTATTTTTCCAGCTTTTGACTTTCTCTGTTTCCCCTATTTTTACACGCTCGTGTAAATCTATACTGGTCACCGACCGGACGATCACTGTCAGCTTTATTGCGGACGCATTATTCAAGAGGACACGCAACACCTTTCATAAATCGCCTCGCCGTGTGTCGTCTGTTGTGTCGACGGCTCGAGGCGCGAACGATACGCGTGAGTGGATGAGTGTGCATGCGTGTAAACGATCTCCCCGGGAGGGAGATCAACGTATAGGCAAAGGTTTCGGACGTCGAGGCCGCGGACGAAATGAAATGCCCGTGGTGAAGCTGGCGCGCGTTGCGATCCGTCGATCCTCGTCGATGATCGTCGCAGCAAATTTAAGCGCAACATATTATATGTACAGTATGTATATGTACAGTAATCACACCAAAAGGCTCCCCGCGCAAAGTCAACGTGTACTTAGGAAACCAAACAGTTTATTCAGCAAGATGATACATCAAATAGGTAAGACATAATCCAGTGGCTAACTACACAGACGGCAGGCAAGACAGTAAAAGATCGATGCACGCAAAAGGATGACATCAAAATTCGAATTCGGATTCGTTGTTAGAATGTGAGGGCCTCGTTCTCGCTGCGTACCAGGACCGCGAGCTTTAACTTTAGTAGATAAAATATCAAGAGGAGGCCGATAAGCCATTTATTCGTTCGACGAATTTCTCTTGCTGCGTCTTTCTCCGATACAATTTTTCTACATTTTAAGTTTATAAGTTTCTCCACACGAGTGTCTGGTAAATTAATTCACAAATGATGCTCATCAGTTTATTTGAGAGATCCGTTAAATTTATTTATATTAAAATTTATTTCCAATGTTGCTGAATATAGTAAATATATACGTTACATGTTAGAACTCTGGGAAAATCCTAGTCTAAAAGTAAATTATATTTTATTACTGTGAGGATATTATTTCTCTGCGTATATGTACATTTTCTATATCACACGCCTTCTCATTAACACAAAATCTCATTTAAACAAATCCTGGACAACGATCTTCCCGTTCACATCCTAATCTCGAGCTCCGCATCGCGATCCCCCTGCATATATAGTCACGTAATATCGATTGAGGATCGCGATGCCGAATCGAACAATCAATTGACAGCGCCTCGCCACGTGGCAGTTCGATCATGCGAGTCGTGGGAGTTGGAGCGAAGGGTGGAGCGGTGACAAGGGGGTGAGGGGCCGGTGGGGATGGTGGGAGGGTGGACAAGAGAGTTTCTCTCAAAGTATTTTTCATTTGCACAACGAATTCTATTCAGCGAGCAATATTCCCCCCGTCGACGATCTCACGAGGAGAGGGTCTGATGGGAAAAAAAGTCTCTTTTACAACACTCCGTCAAAACCACTTTGGAAAACGACTGAACAGGTTACCGATGTCGCTACGGCGCGCCGCGATCTCGTCGGCTAGCGAGTTTCTCGGCTCCGGGAACAACGGCCGCCCGCTGTACTTCCGGTCAAGGTGGTCGACCATGGGCTTGTAATAGGACTCGCCCTTGTCGTAGTTGCTGCCGTAGATGAACGTGCGCGGCCTGCTGAGGATTGGCCTCGACATCTCGGGATTTCGGCTGCCTCTCTCCCTGTTTATCTGCAAACCAGACACATTCTGCACTCTGCGATCTTCCGCGCGAGGATCACCGGAGGGCATTTTGAGATTTTCTTTGGGAGAAAAAAAAACGCGCTCTTTCTCTCTTTCAAAACTTATATATACTCGAGTCTCGTCCGATAAACGGAACTCTGATAGTAATCTAATAAATAAATAATTATTTTAATAATTAATAATTGATTTAGTCAATTAAATAATTAATTTAGTCAATTAATAAGCACAAAAATTTTATAGCAGATCTTAATATTATCAAATTTACAATTAGACATAAATGTCATCGTTATAAATTTAAGTAATTTGTTTAATTAATTAGTCATTTAGAGCCACTCTAATAATTTGATAGTGTTAAAATCACTATTATCAACTGTCAATATTATTAACTAAAACAAATATAAATATATATATGATATCGCGATATGACTTTGTTATTAATAATAGGGAGCTCTAATTCGGATATGTGAATAGCGAACGTTCCGGTTGTGTGCCGCCCACATGGGAGAGTTAATAATGCTGAAAATCGCATTTCGCCAAACGCGCGTGCGACACGTGGTGATTCCCCGGCTTCCCTCCGTCGTGGCCTCTTCCACGTGACTTCCAAGAGCGCTATACCGCGCTAAATAACAAAAGTTCGGCGGATTCTCTCTCTCTCTCTCTCTCTCTCTCTCTCTCTCTCTCTCTCTCCCCCCGTCTCTCCCGATATGACCGCTTTACTAAAACGAGCTCATTCAGCGAGCGTCCGCTTTCAGGTTAACGTCATCATGATGTAAAGAACTTAATAGAATGGTCGGTCAATGTATCTGTGTTACTGGCCGAGTTGATAATTTTAATAGAACATTGGGACGCGGCTCACGCGGCGATATGTATGATTTTAATATGGAGCATCGGCATGTACCAAAAGGTAGAAGCTGCCTCAAATTTTACAATCCTACGAAATTGAAAAAAAATATTCGTCTAAGTTCTTTTTTATAGTTATACGTTTCAGACAAATTTAATTAAAATAAGTTGGCTTTTGTTATTTTTAGAAAAAAAAGCTATTTATTTATGATTAAATATACCGTATTTAATTGTATATAGCTATACATCAATTAAATATTAAGTATACCATTAGTGACTTCAAATTTTGATGTAAAATTC